GATGATGATGATGATGATGATGATGATGATGATCATGATGATGATGGTGGTGATGATGGTGGTGATGATGATGATGATGATGACGAGGGTGATGGTGATGGTGATGATGACGTCGATGACGACGATGACGACGATGATGATGATGCTGATGCTGATGATGATGCTGCTTATCATGATGCTGATCGGATGATGCTGATAATGATGATGCTGATATGATCACGATGTCTGTGTTCATCACTCTCGTGCTCATGTGCTGATGATGCTGACGATGACGATGACGATGACGACGACGACGATGCTGATGATGATGAATATGCTGCTGATGATGCTGATGATGAGGTGCTGGTGCTGGTGGTGGTGCTGTTGCCGATGATGCTGATTATGAAGATGATGATCGTCATACTGATACTGCTGATGATGACGGTGGTGGTGATGAGGATGAAGATGAAGATGATGATGATGATGATGATGATGATGATGATGATGATGATGATGATGATGATGATGATGATGATGATGTTGAGGATTATGCAGCTGCTGATGATGCTTATGATGCTGATGATGATGATGCTGTTGATGATAACCATCATGGTGATGATGATGTCGACGATGCTAATGATTCTGACCATTGTGATGATGATGATGATGATGATGATGATGATGATGATGACGATGACGACGATGACGACAATGATGCAGATTATGCAGATGATGCTGCTGATGATGATGGTGGTGCTGGTGGTGGTGGTGCTGATGATGACGACGACTACGACGTTGATGGTGATGATGTGGATGATGATGAGGATGATGTCCATACTGATGATACTGATAATGCTAATGATACTGGTAATGACGATGATGCTGATGATGGTCAAGCTGATGAAACTGATGATGATGACGATGATGATGATGCTTGTGATGATGATGATGATGATGATGACGACGACGATGATGATGATGATGGTGATGGTGATGGTGATGGTGATGATGATGATGATGATGATGATGACGATGACGGTGACGATAACGATGCAGGTGATGCTGCTGCTAATGATGATGGTGGTGGTGGTTGTGCTGAGACGATGACGACGACTACGACGACGACGACGATGATGATGATGATGATGATGATGATGATGATGATGATGATGATGATGGTGATGGTGATGGTGATGATGCTGATGATGATGCTGATGACGATGATGCTGATGATGCTGATTATGATGATGATGATGGTCATGATGATGTCTGGACGTATCACCTATATACGCGCGGGCTAGCTGGTCGCCCAGCCAGGCGAGCTAGCCGGTGACAGACGCCACCGTTCATGATGTTTTGTTGGTGATGGTTTATGATGATGGTGATGATGATGACCATGTTTGTGCTGTGGTGGTGGTGGTGATGATGATGATGATGATGATCATGCCGTTCACGATTACGATAACAACGGTGCTGGCGGAGGACGGGCAGGAGGAGAATGAAGAGACTATGATGACGATCGTCACGCCCGTTCAGGCCCCCGCGATGAAGACGGTTAGTGTTGCTACATGTTAGCTCGTCGTGTTTGGGTTGTGACTTGTTTGCTTGCACGGTGGGACCTGCCACGAACGCGCGAGCTAACAGGTGACACGCCCAGCTGGGCGAGCTAACAGGCGCTACCGCGCATGATGGGGATGATTCTAAACATGATGGTTGTGCTGCTGGTGGTGCTGACGATGATGTGGATGGCGATGCTGCTGATGATGCTGATGGTGGTTGTGATGGGGAAGGTGACGATACTGATGATGAGGATGGTGACGATGATGATGATGATTATGATGACGATGACGATGACGATGACGGTGCTGATGATGATGATGAAGATGATGATGCTGATGCTGATGCTGATGCTGATGATGGTCATGATCGTGATGAACATGATGATGATGACGATGATGATGGTGGTGATGGTCATGATGATCATGGTGACGGTGGGGCCTGCCACCACCGCGAGCTAACGTGTGACAGGCCCAACCGGGCGATCTCACATGCGACAGGCGCCGCCGTGCATCATTGTGGTGTGTACGTTGATAAAGGTCATGATGTTCATGGTGATGATTCGTCTAATTATACCGACGATTACCATAGCTAGGAAAGCGACGACAGAGGAGGTCGAGGGACGCTGAAAATGATGATGGTGATGATGATGATGATGGTGATGATGATGATTATGATGATGATGATGCAGACGATGATGATGATGATGATGATGATGATGATGATGATGATGATGATGATGCAGATGATGATGATGATGATGATGATGATGATGATGCTGCTGATGATGATGTTGGCGATGATGAGGATGATGATTTTGATGACGATGACGATGAGGATGACGACGACTACAACGACGAGGATGATGAAGATGAGGATGATGAGGATGACGAGGAGGATGATGCTGATGATGCTGATGATGGTGATGGTGCTGGTGATGGTGATGGTGACGGTGACGGTGATG